TTTTTTTTAATTTTTTTAAAAAAAAAAATTGTCTTCTTAGAGAGTGCTTATTTATAGTCTCAACATATTTTAGGATTTTTTTCTTTAAATTTCTCTTTAAACTTCATTAAGTAATACAATTTTGTACAAATAATTGAACGTTATGCCACTACTTACAAAAATAAAATCTGAAATCCAATAAAAGATAAGTTCTCTATAATTTTTTCAATTCACAAATGTGATTTTGCCCTCACAATAAGACAAAATGGCCACAGCAGGCAATGAATTAACTATAAACAAATAGTAAAAACACTCAATTCTCTTCTTTGAAAATGCATTTTGTAACTAGCTTCAGTGTGGAGATGTTCAGACATGTTTGCCATTGATATTTTTCCTCTTTTTTTTTTAGGAAGGCTCTGTGCATGTGTGTGTGTAGATAGATAAAACTCCCTACCTGAGACATGGCTACAATAAAAGAGATGGTCACCACTGTTTTCTATCTCTTTCCCTTTCTTTTTCTTTTTTTTTGTTGTTGTAAGAATGGAATGATTCTTGTTTCATAGATCTTGTTCCATTCACATTAATGAATGGTTCTGTGTTTAGCTGATCTGTCTTGCTTTGCCCCCATTGGCTTAATGGTACATCTGAGGGCTTATACCACTAATAAATGAAACTGGTTTTAACACCAGTGGTGGATGGAATGCAGAAGGCTCATTGTGTAGTTTTGGGCTTAACAACAAACAAACTCCAAAACTGTCTGGTTTCTTATGATGTTTTCAACCACATTAGATGTGTATTTTAGGTTACATCTCATATTTCCACTTGACAATGTCTTTGGTCTGGCTTTTACATTCTTTAGATGACATTGTACAAATGGTTGTGAGGATGTATCTGCATAAGTTATTTAATGTTTCCTTCATGACATCACTATATTTTTGGTTTCAGAATTCCATTTAACACCTGGGGTTCTGAAGCCTTGATGAAATCCATTTCTAGTGCATTTTTGTATTGTATGCCCAGCTCCCATAGTTCCCCATTTTCAGGGTGTCTGGAATTATAAGTAATTTTGACTTCCAAACAAACAGTACATGACAGGAATGATATAATATTTAAATACAGTCTCTTATGTATTGAGATTTTGTATTTATATTGATCTGCCCAGTTAGGAATCTTGTATGTTATTTAACCTCTGCATTTGTACTAGGCAATCTCAGTATTGTTGTATATTTCAACATCTCTGTTCCCACATATTGGAATATTTGTGATGTTTTTGAATCCATATATCATTCACTGTATGATGAATAGTAAGTCTGCTATTTTTCAGCTCATTAGTGTGCTATAGTACATTGTCATTGTATTAGTTTAAAGCTTCTATGTAGGAAAAATGTTCATTAAACATCATTTAAAATAATTAACAGACATAATGTTACAAAATAAGCTACTTAGTATGTTAATGTTTTTTCAGTTTACTAACCTTGACCACATTTCTCTAATGTTTGGTACAAATATACTCTTAATCTGAAATATTTCACTTCAAAGTGAACAAATTTGTTGTTGTGACATACAAAGTTGATGTACATATGAAAAGCTTTTAAAATATCATTAAGTGTAAAATCTTTAGGAGAAAGGAAAGAGTTGGGAGTTAGAACTGTGTAAGAACTATTAAGGTAGGGTATATAGATCTATTTAGTTCTATACAATATCTTTTTGTAAATGTGGAGGTTGGGAGTTTAATTAGTAGAACTATTTTTAGGAGAAAGGAAAGAGTTGGGAGTTAGAACTATGTAAGAACTATTAAGGTAGGGTATATAGATCTATTTAGTTCTATGCAATATCTTTTTGTAAAGGTGGAGGTTGGGAGTTTAATTAGTAGAACTATTTTTATTTCAATCCATTTCTACTTTAAGAAATTTAATGGTAACTATAGACTGTGAAAGGCAGTAGAAGCTGAGACGTGGGTGTAAGCACTTGGCTTTGTAACCTTATTTGATTGATTTGTTTTATGATTTTCCATGAAGGCTGACTAGATTGACATTGGCATTTGGATTTTGTCTGATAGATGAGATATCCCAATGCATTTGGGTGCTATTACCACAGACGTTATCTGTTATGACAATAAATTAAACTGGTACTGATAACAGTATTGTGATATATATGTGCGTGCACACACATGTACGTACGCACGCACACAGAGACTGTAATTAGATATTCTTAGGATAAGTTCAGCCTTTCTGAATTGCTGTTTATAATTCATGTAGTTTAGAATCTAAATCAGTATATAAAGTTAATCAATACTCTTTTATTTTGTTAATGATTCTAAATTTTTAAAACTGACTGTTTTTTTTTCATGTATTTTACATAATTAATAAAGATGCCCTGACTGTTTATTGACAAATTTTCAACACTCAAGTTTAATATCTTTGCTGAAAAGATTTATCTAATGTCTGTTTAAAGATGTTACATGCAATTGTTTTGTAGTCATAAAAAAATTTAACCTTTGCTGATGCCATTACTTCTTTCTTTTTTTGTTTAGTTGTAAATGTGACTAAAGGTGAATTTATGAAATGTAATCACTAAACTTGCTTTCAGATGATAGTATTTCAAGTCATTCACACTGTGTTTACACACTGTGGTTATTTTTTATGTATTATTGGTTTACTTTAGTGAATTTTTATTTAAAAAAACACAAGCTAGAAAATAAAATCAAACTGATTTCTTGACTTCTTTTTTTAAATGTTTTTCTCTTGTGTGTATGTTTGTACAACAATTAACAACAGGAAGTTGTTTAATTTAGCATCAAAATACTGATGGAATAAAAAAAAAAACAAAAAAAAATTCTGTTAGAAAAAAAAATTTAAACATAGTTCAAAAATGAATTTGTTTGTGAACTTGAATAATTAATTAAAACAGGGTAACTGAAATTAACTGTAAATAAATTTCTAAATTATGTATTAGTGTTGTACCATGTTAACTTTTAAACTAACATGCACTTCATGTAGTGTGAAAATATTTGTTCTTCATGTGTGGAGCAAGAAGGAAGCTTATGTGGGTGAGAATTGATGAAAATATGAACTTGTTCATTAAAAGAACATATGATTGTCTTTTTCATATCTTATACTGCATCACATGCAGTATCTACACTAAATTATATTACATAATAAGCCTATGAAAATTCAATTACCACAACTAGCCAATACTAGATCAGTTCTAGGTATGTGAAGGTACATAATCATAACTTCTGCTGATATACATCAGCATTCTACCGTACATGTCAGTTTCTAAGTAAATGAAACTACTGTTTCAGACAAATATGAAATTCATACAGACAAAAGCATGTGTTGCTGCTTGGGGCAATAGGTTATAATTAGGACTGTGATTCAAAGTAAAGTTAATTATAAATTATCTCTGTATGAGTTCATATTAACCACAAAACTTTCAACAAATAAAGTGTGTGCAAACAAAAGTTTTCAAATATAAAAATTCTCAACCTTTGTAACAGAAATAGTAATGACAATATGTCCACCAGAGTTAGCACAAGCTGTTAATTTGAAACATTTTAATGTTGCATTATCCAATAATGTTGAAAAGATATATACAAGTACATAAATGTAAAAAATCTCATTGTGGAAAAAAAGTTTTTCTGAACATACTTACATTTGTATTTGAAATTTACAACCAATAAATATTATAATTCAAGTATTAGAATTTTGCATGAGAAGGGCTTTATATTGGATATAACATATTGGTAGCCAGGAATATTTTTTCAAATGTTTGATTGGCTTTCTATTTAATAAACTATAATTTACACAGCCAAAGAAGAAATAATTTGAAGTAGCTTTTTTAATAATAATTCTTGGTTTTAATGTTGTTTGAATTCTTAAAAATGTTATGTTACAGCTAACTTGTATGTATTACATATGTACATTATGCATGAAATACACAAAAAAAAAACACAAAACAATCAAATTACACTAAATGAAACAATATATTTGTCTTCCTTTTACAGGTCATTTACTAGTTATATAAATTTAGGAGACAGGAAGGTGGGAGCTTTCGCCCCTGCTAAGGCACCAGACTCTTGTTTTTCAAACCTTCTTTTACCAGACACTCCATTTCAGAGTCTTCTGAAACATGACAAAAATGACAGTCCAGTATCCATGAAACAGAGACGTCAACAGAATTCAAGATTTCCTGAAAGCAAGGAAAATGGAGACAGTAATGCCAATAAAGATGAAGTAGCCACAAATAAAAGTTCCACAAACTGTGGTACAGATAAATCTTTAGACATGAATCAAAATACAGTTGATTTGGCTGCTCAAAAGTCTATTTGGACAGAAGCCTCTGTATGTGATGATTTTGTTTTAGTTGAGTTGGTAAGTACTATACTACAGATTATTGTAAAATAAACACCACTTAACTTTAAACATTGAAAATAAAATAATGAGATCAACATAAGGCACTCACTATTGGTTATTTCAAGGATTTACATTTTTTCTATTTAAAAGAATATTTATTGTTTTGGAAAGCAAGAATTACCACTAATACTTGCATCTAAAATCTGTTAGTGTTAATGTTAGAATACCAGCCTGTTTTTTCTCACAAATTAAAGTTTATTGATCATCTTAATTTTGACTAATCTCTAACAAGCATATATATATTAGTGATTGTGTAATTAAGAATAAGGCTGGATGACTTTTAGATGCTCTAAAGTGAATTCTATGTTTCTTTTTTACATATATCGTGATGAAAAGAAACTAATATTTGTAACTCTGTGTTCATCAAATTGTTCAAGAAGATACTAAAAGCTTTTATTAGAGAAACAAAACTTTTTACATAAAAGAACAAACCTGTTCTATATCTCATAAGCATGATTTCTTAATGTATGCGGATGTCACAAAATTAAAACATAAATTTAAAGAACTAGTATATGATAAAATTTCAGTTTTTGACAATAGACTAAATAACTTTTAAAACAATTTCTTCCTCCCTTGCAGCCTGTAGAAGTCACTTTCTTGAAAAACAATGTGTGGCAATAAAAAAGTTTTCGTATTGGCCAGAATACTAGACAACCTACAATCTTAGCCATTAACAATCCTTAGAAAGATGCATAACTAGTAATAACATAAAGATAATTTCCTTAATTGCAGTGGGTTTACTGAGAGGAATTCAGAAATGCAGCATTCAAAAAATTGAATAGCTTTTAGAAAAATCCCCAAATTACTGGTAGTGCACAGCACACAGTATTTTTAAAGTTGATGGTGTACTTGTGCTACCATGCATTCTTGGTGTTACATTCCTGGTTTCGGCAAGTATTGCTGTAATGGTGCTTTATGTTATCCTTTAATTTTAAATTTTTTTGGGGAGTGTTGAAAGAAACTATAAACATAATTCAGTTTCTTTAAACACAGTAAAACAATATCTAGAACTACTCAAATTCTATGGGTAGAGTATGAACAGCTGACAGTGAAACCAATTATCATAACTGTGAAACACGCTTCTGGTGTATTTTGAGTAAAATTGAGAATAATCAATAGTAGATATTTTTTTATGTGGTTTGTGAAATTTTAAAGGACCATAATTTTAACTTATCTAGGTTATGTTAGGACTAAATGGTTAACATTGATTAATCAAAAATACTATATTATTATTATAGTGGAAGCCTCTTTCATTTAAAAAAATACTGAAAATTTTGTTATAGTGTTACACAACTGACTTTTAAAAGTTAAATAGTATCATACCATCATTGTAAAAGTGAAACATTACTGCAGCCAGTATGGAAAAGTTGAATTGTTGTTACTTGTTAACATAATAATACTATAATATATGAATATACTTTCTAGTTTTATTCATGATCTAATGGTCTTAAAAGATTAATTATATAACTATAGTTATAACTATCAAACATTTTATTTCACAAAATAGATGATGCTATTGTAATTTTTATGTTTGACTCTAGGCTACTTGAAGAACATAAAAAAAAAATACTAGGTTTTTACTTTGGTTAAGTACTTGTTTGCCTAGTAAATAATATTAGTTATGATTATTCATTTTCTTTGGTTGGTTACAAAGCATTTGAGTAAATGTGTAGGATAGGTATGAAATCTAAGGCCCCCAACATTACAAACATGTAGAACAATACTGATTTTTTTGGTATAACACAAGTATGGAAGAGTTTGCACAGTATTCTTGCAACATGTGACTTATAAGTATATAAGTGTTTTAATCTTTCTAACTGATAAACAATGCAGTTGCATGATGTATATGATTCATTTTCATGTACAAAGTTTTGGATTAAAAAGTAAATTAATTTAAATTACTGTGGCTAAAAAGTTTCCTTTGGATTTCCATTCTCTCTGCTTCTTTCTTTTTTTTCACTTTTTTTTTTATTTTGGCCACTTAATAAAATTTTTTAATACAAAAAAATCTTGGTCAATTTTATATGTTCATTTTAACTATATTTCAACAGTCTTACCTCATAATTGATATTTTGCTGTTTTCTGACATTTATACTAACTGTGTAATTCATGACTGAAAAATAAAACGTTTGTTCAGCTGCAAAGGGTTTTACTTGTAAATAAAACAACCCACCTTTTCTGCCCATTCTAGAAAATAACTGTCACCCACTTGAAAATATGTTATTTTTTGGTTTCCAAGCATTTCCTTTAGTTTTTATACAGACCACGATTGAAACCTTGTTATAATGCTACATCAAATAGTTTGATAATTTATTAATGAAATGCAAATCATAAAAGATATAAAGAAAATTTAAATATCAATGGATAGAGCAAAACTTAGACTAAGTATACATGTATATATTATTATTTTTTTTGGTGAGAGGGGGGACTATTTTTTGTTTTGAGTTGGATTTATTTCTTTATGTAGACATCAAAATAGTGTGTGTGTTTTGTAGAAAAATAGGTATTTAAATTATTGCATAACTGACCTTTGAAGTGGTTACTTTAGACAGTTGTTTACATTTTTGTTTTTTTTATATTCAACTTAATATTTGTTAATGGAATCCATTATGAAATATTTGACATTGGTCGAATAATGAACTGTTACGTAACAGGCTTTTCAACCTCACTTCTAGTTTATGACATTCATTATAAATTTGGATGTTTGCTTTACGTGTACTTCATTCATGCAAGTCAGTGGTTTGGCGAGTACCTCTCTTATTGATGTTTTTAGAAACTTTTGTATTAAATATTATAAGCTAACCAGACATTTTCTTGACATGTATACAGAATTACAAAAACATGGTATTGAAACAAATATGGGATCTTAAGAAAAGAGGTAATGTCATTTCATTTCTGGATACAAACTAGTATTCTGTAAAATGATAGGAATATTTTTGTGTTTCATGTTTATGGGGAGGAAAAATTAATAATTCTTTGTAGGTTTACTTCTACTCAGAGGTATGAAAGCAAGAAAATAGACAGACAGCTAGAAACTATTTAACAGGTGAAACTCAGTTCTAATTTGTTCATGGCAAAATAGTAAAACGACAAATTCACTATTCAAAAACAAAAGTAAAGAAAATCAGACAGTTTAGACAAGATATATTGAAATAAGCTGTAGATGAGAAGCAATCAAAAAAAAATATATATCGTACTATCATATACAGTGAAATATCAGTTTTCTTAATTTTTACTTTTCATTAGTGTGTCTTGATTGTAGGTTAAATGATGAGACATTCAAGAATTAATTTGACATAATGAGACATTCTTCAATTCTTTCAGAAACCTCCCTTTGCTGAGAATGATGGTAATGGAGACCTTGGAGCATTTTTTCGAGAGTGTAGAACAGCTCCACCACTTGCATCATTTAATCATCAACCTACACTGGAAGAGCAGATGAGTGAAATCAGTCATCAGCTTGCTGCCTTGGAAACAAGTCTACATGATTTTGATGATTTTGTAAATTCAATTTGCCATACAGATTCTCCAACTTCATGAAGATCTAGTACAAGTAACATTCAGGAAGCTGAGATTTTGTGTAGTTGAAGTGTGTACAATGTTTTAGGGCTTTTACATGTAAAGCTATTCTATATCATATATTCTTGTCATGTGTGAGTTGTACTTGCAAGAGTGGTTAGTTTTCAAGTTAGAACAGGATGGTAAGTAGTGATCTTAGTTCAGTATTGGTATTGAAAAGAAATTTATCAGGCTGTTTTAGTAGAAAAGAACAGCGAGTGAATGAAGAATTACCCAACAACTGTACATTTATCTCCAGTTCTTAAAATAATTTTTCTCTATTACAAAAACACAGAATTCAGCAAGCTTTAGAGCAGCTATTTCTTACATTTTTTTAAAGTAAAATTCATGAATATATTATTGAACTCTTGCTTTTGAAGCTTTATTCATCTGTACTTAAGTCTTATGCATGTTTCTTATAGCAGTTTTTGTTGTTGTTTTTTAAAACAAATAGTTGCTTTTACTCAATGTTTGTAGTGTGATATACTGAATAATAATACTTTTTTGTGTTATGGGAGGAAATGTGGCATTGTGTAATGTATAGTGCTAAGTTTTTGTAGGCAAAATTTATTGATATGCGAGATTTTTGTGGATTAAGTAATGGCTGGGTTTGTATAATGGTATAGATATCAAGAAAGATGTGCGGCAAGTTAAATGACACAAGAACCTCACTTTCCTTGTATACCTGTCTGTACCTTGAACTACTAGTCCATTAGCAATTCTTTAAAAAATAAAAAATACATTCGAAAACAGGTATATGTATTTCAAAACATCAACATTCATGATTAGATTATTTTTTAATCATTTTTATTTTTTGTGTCAATTGTAGTATCAGTTTTTTGATTCCATTCCTGTTGGAATAATAAATGTGAGTTGTGGAATTCAAGATTTGTAAAGTACAGATAATACATTTATAATATGGATAACATAATGAAGTTTAAATAGATTACATATAGTAATATTTCCTATATTTATATTTTAAAAAATAAAATGTTAGTTTATTGGAATTTTGTGTAGTTTTGTGTTTTTTTTTTTAGGTTCCATCCTATGGATTTATGGTATAAAATATGCTGTTTTATGTATCTTGTAATCTTTTTTGAAATATGAAACACTTTTGTTCTGCAGTAAAAAAATTGCAGGCATCTTTATATATTTCACAGTTTAAAATTAGACATAAAAAAAAAAGAAACTTGTATATTGAATTTTTATCTACCATTTTTCTACCATTTTAATTTATAATTTTTAGTTCCAAATAATTTTTCTGAAAATATTGAAATATATGTGAAATGTTTATCACTTTAGAATGAGTATTTTAAAAATATTAGCCTATTCTTAAGTTTATTGCTATTTTTATGTATTTAACAAAACTGTTTTTGTGGTATAAATTTAAGACTTGTCAAACATTTTCCATTTTTGATAGAACTTTTCTGGTATACACTTTAAATATAAAAAGATAAATTAGCTGTTACTTTGTTGTAAAGATAAACAATAAATTTCTTGACTATTGACCTCTTCATAATGTTATCATTAAATACATGTATCTTAAAGCTAAGTTACTATGAGATCCAGAATTGGGTACATGTAGTTTTAACTCAAAGGCCATGGATTTTCAGCAATTGGGGATTTTGGTAGCTAGTTGAATAAAACATTTCTCAGTTCATTAGCTGAGAATAAGCAGTTGAAACTTAACTGGTATTTTAAGTGCTCAGTGTTTTGAACTATATTTAGGAATTTCATTAAAACCGTGTTAAAACTACTAAAAATAAAGTTAAAAATGTACAGAAACTTTAAAATCTTGTATTTCAAAACAGCTACAAACAAAATATATCTGCTTTTAAATTTTTCTGAGTGGAAATACAATATACTCTTGTTTAAGAACACTAAAGCTGGCCAGATCTTTGAAACATTTTTGCAGTTCAAGAACCAGTAATTCTCTCTGATTTAATTGGGTTGTGATATTGAAGATTGTTAGAATAATGGCCTAAAAAGTAAAATATTCAAATTTCCATTTTTTTGTTGTTGTTACAGATGTGACAATGCAGTGAAAATTATTTTGGTTATAAATAGAATATATTACCAAAATGCAGTTAGGTTGCTTGAAGACTACTTCAGCATTTCTGACAAGATTTTGTTTTGTCTGTAGAAGACCACAAAATCCAGTATTTGTCCAATCATTTTATATAATCTTCAAAGAGACAAGATTTGGTAATTAACAACACTTATTTTCAGTGTTTTTGTAAGCATTGTTGTATAATATTGTTTCATTTTTTAAGTAAACTATTATATACTATAGTTTTTTTTTTTATAAAGTATGCATTTAAAAAAAAATAGTTATTTTAGATTTTAATTAACTTTTCAATTAACTTACAAAAGTTTTGGTTATTAGTAATGTTTGTTTTCTATCAAAATTTTACCTTTCATGTAAACAAAGTTTTTAGTATGTTTCAGATTTTCCTGGAGAATTTCCAGAAAAGTTATATTTAAAAATATAAAAAAACGTAACTGTAAATGTGTAGTTTTTCTTCAAATCACAACCTGTGTATATTTTGAAGTTAATTCGTAAAATAAATCACTGTTTGTATAGCGTTATGTTTAAATATATGCTGTTATTTGATTTAAGACATAGTATTTCTTGCATTATAATAACTGATGTTTCTATATTTAATCTCTGAAAATTTAAAAGATGACCTTGTCTTGTCGAAATTGTTTATTAGTAAACGTAAGTAATAATGATAATGTTTCTATGTTTGTTTATTCCTTCTGTGAAAGTATCAGTACCTGTTGATATGGTTAGCATCAGAAATGTTTAAATTTTTTCAGTATTGTACTAAATACAGTATGAAAATGAATAGATGTGGGAAATGGTATGTATGAGCTCCGTTGAGAAGACTTGTGAATTGTATGTATTATCTGGTCAGACACTTGAAATAAATTCAAATCTCAAGGTGTGTTTCTAGAGCTTTTTATTTAATAAATTTTTCTGCAACTGAGCATAAAAAGGTTTGATTGTTTCTACATTGTGCATTACACCGACGATTTTTGAACTATATGAATTTTGACCCTATGAGATGTGAAAAACTTATCCTTCTAAAAGGAACCATAAGAAAGTTAACCAGAGATAAAAAAAAAAAAATTATTTATAGATGTAACTTGAGATCAGTTTGGAGACGTTTTTGTTTCTAGTTTCACTGAATTCGTGGGTTGAATACTGTTTATTTTACTAAAATAGCATACTTATATAGGGTAAACTAAATTCATTATAAGACATGAGATTTACCTCATCTTTTGACAATGATTTAACTTTATCGAAATCTTTGGGAGCATTCTTAAAAAATAAGGGTTAGGGTAAATAGAGTTTTAGGATATTAGCCAGAACCAGTGCCGTACCGATGTTTGATGGCGCCCTGTGCGACATATAAATTCCGCGCCCCCAAACTCAACCCTGCACTTTGTTAGTCAATTGGGCAATCGGCGACCCCCTGTGCGTTGGCGTCCTGTGCGAACGCACAGCTTGTACTATCCACGATACGGCCCTGATCAGGACTGCAGTAAACTGTTATCTTACTCCTACCACTTTATGTTTGTATTTGGTGTGTGGGTTTGACCATCTTTCGTACATGATTAAATGCAAGCTTTGAGAATATCCTGTAATGAGATGTATTATTAGCCGAACTATAAAGGAACAGCTTGACAAAAATAAAATCTGTGACCCGAGCGCTTTATCATGCTGACTAGTACTGCTTGAAGTAACCAATCGGTGTTAGCGAAACTTGTGGTATTTATTTTTTTCGTTACCGGTCGCCAGTAAAATTCGACAATTAAACGAGGTTTCTACTTTGTAAAAGGGATGGCATCAACATCTTGGTGATGCGTTTAAAATTTGTTACGATTTTGATGAATGTAAAAAAAAAGTTAAGACATGAATTTTGTTGTGAGTTCAAAATTGTAAAAAAATAAATAAATGCTACAAAGAAAGTAAAATGCAGCGGCATCACTAATCAACGTTTAATATAAGCATATGAGAAGTATGAACGAATGTATATATCTAAGAAATACATTTTCCATTGCAAGTAAGCACTCTACATATTAAAACATGTTAACTAATTAAAGCACAGATAATTAATTCGATTACCTTACTTTCTTCGTATTTGTATTTTTAAAAGTTTACTTATAATTGTTTGCATAATATATTTGAATTTTTTTTTTTATGAACCAATAATTATAGTGAGAGATAGTAGAAATATTAGGGTGGTTTCATTTCATTTCTACTTTAGGAATTATAAGAACTTTTAAGGGTAACTGCATTCCCATACTGGCTGCAGACAGTGAAAGGCAGTAAGAGTTGATACGTTGTGGGTGTAAACACTTAACTCCATACCCTTAAATGATTTTCCGTGATTACTGGCTAGTTTAACATCAGCGTTTGGATTTTGTCTGGTAGGTGGGATATCCCCAAGGTACTTTGGAGCTATGACCACAAACAATATATGTTATGACTTTAAAGTGACACTAGGATTTACAATGGATTTTGCACACAAAAAAAATTCTTAATGCTTATTTTATTTTATTGCTTTATAGTGCTGGTTTTAATCGCCTATTAACAATTAATGTAAATAATAGTATTGAAGCTATTTATTTCATTATATATATATATATATTTGTGTATTTATAAACAACAACTTTGCTTCTTCTACTTACATACATTATATTATGTGACCACAGCCTATACATTCTGTAGACGGGGAGATAAAAGTTTACTTCTCGCTTAATGGCGGGAAAGGCTTATGACTTTATATGTGAGTTTGTTTTAATATCGCGCCGAGCTATTGGAGGGCTATTGCGCTAGTCATCCGTAATTTAGTAGTGACATAAGTTAGTTGCGCCTTCTGGTGACTCTTTGTTGACCTATAACATCATGGCTGTCTGTCATGGCGGCCTAGCAACGCATCCCTAATTTTGGAACTATGACTCCTTCATCTTTGATGACATCTACCCCCTTCACAGCTCCGTCTTCATGTGTCATTGGGTGACGTCGCTTCCGCCTTTGAAGTGCTAGACTTACTACTGATCTCTATCTGGAAAAGTGAAACATATCATGTCTATACGAGTTGCTTCCATGACAACTTCCACTGAGCTGTTGCATACGTCAAACAACTGAAGAATGAAATGGGTATTCACGCTACTTCATACAAAGACATCCTGGTCAAGTTGCCAGATGTAAAAGATATGGATCTCTGAGCAATCACATGATTAAAACGAGCACTGGAAAACAATCGTCTTCTTACAGTAGAGTACAGGAGGAATTGTGTGCTTTGAACATAATAGCCTTACAACGGAACTTATTGCAATGGAAATTATGCTGCATGGCTATTGTCAAGATGCAAAGTCGTCAAATATAGCATGACCATATATGGCAACATGGACTTTAACAAGGCGGTGAGGCTTGAAAAGTGCTTTAATATAATCTAACCAACTGACAGTTGTATATTTTATTTCTTTTTTTTTACATGCTCATAAACAACCCCATTCAGTTATTCAAAATATGTCTTTCACAACTAAACATGAAGAAGATACCCTCAAAATGTAACATTTTAGGTATATGGGAATTTTGTTTAATTTATCAGAGAATAACCAACGAAACAGTGCTTATAAATAGCAAGTGTGAGCACCACAAGCACTGATCACTGTCTAACATAGTCTCTGCATGTTTCTCATAAGCCTCTGT